CCTCTTTATTACAACACTCACACAGTCCAAGAAGCCACAGCAAGAAACTGACTTTGTCAGGACACTGGATAAGGACACCATTTGTTTTAAAGTCATGGAGCTACTAACTGCTTTTCTCCAGTCCTCCAGTTCTGTCTCCCTGCTGGGGACTCTGGTAGTTCTGCTTCTTCTCTACATCATCTCCAACTCCAGATGCAAATCCCAGGAAGACAGGAAGGATCCTCCTGGACCAAAACGGCTTCCTCTTCTTGGTAACCTGCTGCAACTGGACCTACAGAGACCATACAACACATTACTGAAGGTGAGGAAGTGACTGCAATACTTTGTGTTGTAGGGCAGTTTGTTGTGTCTGCTTCTCAGACAGATTGAGCACAGTGTGCATATGTGTGATAAAGGCATTACATTATATCCCTGCCCGTAGTTTTCCAAGAAATATGGGTCAGTGTTCACTGTCTATTTGGGAGCCAAGAAAGTGGTGGTCCTGGCAGGATACAAGACGGTGAAGGAGGCACTTGTCAACCATGCTGAAGAGTTTGGAGAGAGAGATGTACTCCAAATTATAAAAGACATTAATCATGACCATGGTAGGAAAAGACAAAAACTGAGCTTTTTCTAAATCATTATCTTTTATCTGTTTATGACATTTGGCCCATAATATGGTAACTATTTGCAGAACTGAAATACTTCATCTCAGGCATTACATGGTCCAATGGTGATTGCTGGAAAGAGATGAGACGCTTTGCTTTGACAAACCTGAGAGACTTTGGGATGGGCAAGAAGGCAATTGAGGACAAGATCATTGAGGAGTCTCACTACCTCATAGAAGTGTTTAAGAAATTTAAAGGTAAGTATTTTATTACTACCACCTGCAAGATATGCAACGTGTGAGGCTTTAAACAAAAATCTTCCTGTGTCCCTTGTCTCAGGTGAAGCTTTTGATACATCCCAACCAATAAACTATGCAGTCTCTAATATAATCTGCTCCATGGTCTATGGCAGCAGGTTTGAATATGATGATCCAGAGTTTACATCCATGGTAGATCGAGTAGACAGGTATTTTCAACTTTTGGGAACCACATCAGTACAGGTATCATTTTCTCTTTATATTAAGCTCAGACCTTCAGCATTGAACTTTAAAACAATAAAAAATGTCATTTTTAACCTACCTGATAATATTTTGATAAGTTGTTGTTTGTAACAGTTGTACAACGTGTTCCCATGGATCGGCAAATGGTTTGCTAACAACAAGGAGGAATTCCAGAAGTTGGCTGAGGCCATCAAGAAACAGAACTCAGAGCTGTTCAGTCGGCTGAAAGAGACCCTCAATCCACAGATGTGCAGAGGTTTTGTGGATGCATTTCTGGTTCAAAAGCAAAATCTGGAGGTCAGGAAACATATAACTGTTACAGGTTGATATTATTACGTATGGAGCTGATCAGAGTTTGTGTTTTTTTCATTACTACTATAGTTCCCCTGTTGATTTTGGCCATGACTGTGGCCACAAAAATGGATGTGCTGAGACAAACTCATGGTTTCTGCATCCACTCACAGTCTGTATAAAAGTGTTCTTGTCCACTGTGTAAGTCCACAGTTGCCCATGTCTGTCCTTGAGTGTGATCAAGGAATTAGAGGAGCTATATACCATGTTACAAAATGGTACTGACTCTAAAGTTTCTTCAGGCCTTTGCTACTTTCAGCACATACAGTATGAATAGTAGAGTTGTCTGGTTAACTTCATCCATGCACATTCAAATGTCTTGACACTATACTGATATGTATCTTCAAGGCTTATACAGTCGGGGAAAAAATTATTTGAACCCCAGCTGATTTTGTATGTTTGCCCACTAACAAAGAAATGATCAGTCTACAATGTCAATGGTAGGTTTATTTGAACAGTGAGAGACACAACAATAACAAAAATATCCAGAAAAATGCATTACAAAAAAGTTATAAAGTAATTTGCATTTTCATGAATGAAATAAGTACTTGATCCCTTTGCAAAACGTGCTTTAGTACTTGGTGGCAAAACCTTTGTTGGCAATCACAGAGGTCAGACGTTTCTTTTAGTTGGCCACAAGGTTTGCACACATGTCAGGTGGGATTTTGACCCACTCCTCTTTGCAGATCCTCTCCAAGTCATTAATGTTTCATGGCTGATGTTTGGCAACTCGAACCTTCAGCTCCCTCCACAGATTTTCTATGGGATTAAGGTCTGGAGACTGACTAGGCCACTCCATGACCTTAATATGCTTCTTCTTGAGCCAATCCTTTGTTGCCTTGGCCGTGTGTTTTGGATCATTGTCATGCTGGAATACCCAACCACGACCCATTTTCAATGCCCTGACTGAGGGAAGGAGGTTCTCACCCAAGATTTGACAGTACATGGCCCCATCCATCCTCCCTTTGATGCGGTACAATTGTCCTGTCCCCTTGGCAGAAAAACCCCCCCAAAGCATAATGTTTCCACCTCCATATTTGACAGTGGGGACG